CAAACGAAAACTGGTTTTACCTTAGGGACTGTACACAATTTCCATGCAACTTTCTAACTACGTCATTTTAAATCACACTCGGAAAATGAAGCGAGAGGAAACTCCGCTCTGCAAGACCAAAAAAAAAAAAAAAAAATTTCCTCTGCGAGACCAAAAAAAAAAAAAAAAAAGTTTCAGGCGGATGGGCAGCGTCAGGTTTCGTTTCTCCTCCCGAGACTTGGGCTTTCCACGCCCGGCTCAGCCCGCCCCCGCGGCGGGGACAGGGCCCTGACAGGGAGGAGGACCCACCCCGGAGCACAGGGTGTTGGAGCGCTATAGTGAAAGCGCAAGGCGGGAGAAGAGGCGTGAGATAAAGGGAGACGGAAAGGTATAACGCACCCAAACGTGACGGGAAGGTCTCATCCGCAGCGGCGGGACCCGGTCCGGCATTGGGAACAGGGAGGAGGAGGGGGCGGTGCTGGTCCAGCAACAGGCTGCCCAGCACCGGGCGTGGTTTCGAGTGTCGCTTCACTCCCACATCAGTGACAGACACAGAGCGCTTTGCGCTGGTACCTCATGGCTGTTGGAGAGTCCGGAATCGCCTCTGCGTGCTAATGGCAACGCTGTTGAAGGCGGAGATCTCCGCTCGCCGAGGAACCAGGGAACTGGCTTTAGCCGCACTACCATCGTTACACGTCTACCGAGCCACGGTTGCGAAACCCGTACGATTTTATCGTGAGTCCGGCCGTTAGGTATTTTAGGGCGATACGAGGGAAGAATTAGGCTTTTCGTTTTGTTTTATAGTCTACCTCAGGAGATGAAGCTCGGAGCTGCGCAAGCCCGCCCAGGTCCCACAAGATGGCGGCGGGACGATGACGGAAGGGCTGTCTTGTCCTGCGCGCAACCTCCCGCCGGCGCCTTTGGGTGTCGGCTACGCACGAAATGGTTCCGGCCAGCTAGGCTGTGGTGGGGTGGCAGCGAGAAGGTCTGGAGTTCAGTATGCGTACGGACCTTTATGGGACTCTGCTTTTTATACTGCTGCTGGCACGAGGGCAGACAAAACAGCTTAGCATGGGCTCCAGCAGCCGTTCAGTGGTAACAGGCCGTTTTTCAGTGAGCAGTTAACAGACCTGGGGGAAGTGTGGGCTTGTGTTTTGGCGGGAGCTTACACAGAAGCAAGCCCTTGGTTCATGTCTTGCTCCATCGCTCTGAGCTTATTCATAGTGAGGATAATATCGTACAGGTGTGTGAAGGTTGTGTGCTTCCCATTGTTGTGTCATCTTCACTAAATTTCAAGTAATGCCTTGTCCTTGTAAGCTGGATGTAGTGATTCCCGTGGTATAAACCACAACTTCCATAGAGCAACTTACTCTGAGGTGCTAGTGTTGTAGCTGGAGCTGCTCTCTTAAAGGCCTAAAATACAAAATTATGGGCTATTGTATCAGCTGAACTAGGCAAAAGCCACGTCTGTATGTGATGAAACTAGACACATCATACATAACTCAAGCTCAATGGATTTCAAAGCATTTATAAAACAGTGAGTAATTTTTTTGTGCTGCTAAAAATACAGCAGTAGCACAGTACTCTGGGATAGCACACTATTGTGCAAGAAGTCACACTCTCTTTCAAACTGCAAGGAAAACAGAGGCAGAAAGTAATCACCCACACTTGAATTTGGTCAGGTACCAAGCAACTTCTCTGTGTTCTGAAAAAAATATCTGGATTCTTATGGAAACTGTTTGGTCAAGCTCTCACTTTAACATCAGTCATTCAAGGGTATTACAGTATCCAGTATCTACTAAGACATGGCATTGGGATGGTGCTGATTCAGAAGGAAACCAGCTACTTGCTGTGAATCAATATGCACATTTTCTTCTTGGATCTGTTCCATACAAACATGTAAAGAGTTGCACAGGCTAATAGAAGAGGTTTAAGGAGATAGTATGGCTGCAGTCATGTGAAATAAGATTTTTTTTTTTCAAAAATGATTGAATTATTTTCCAGTATAACACAGCTATTACTGAAGTGGCCAATACACTCTTTTGTTTACTTTACTTTTTCCTTATTTTACCCAATTTTTATATGCATATCAGAATCATAGAATGGTTTGGAAGGGACCTTAAAGATCATTTAGTTCCAACCCCCTGCCATGGGCAGGGACACCTCCCACTAGCCCAGGTTGCTCAAAGCCTCATCCAGCCTGGCCTTGAACCCCTCCAGGGATGGGGCATCCGCAGCTTCTCTGGGCGACCTGTTCCAGTGTCTCACCACCCTCACAGTAAAAAATGTATTCCTAATATCTAATGTAAATTTACCTTTCAGCTTGAAGCCGTTACCCCTCATCCTATCACTACACTCCCTGATAAAGAGTCCCTCCCCATCTCTCCTGTAGCCCCCTTTAAGTACTGGAAGGCTGCTCTAAGGTCCCCCTGGAGCCTTCTCTTCTCCAGGCTGAACAACCCCAGCTCTCTCAGCCTGTCCCCATATAGGAGGTGCTCCAGCTCTCTGATGTGAAATAAAAATATTTCTTAGTATTGTATATATAATAATAATGAAACATTTTTATATTCCACAATATTGGCAAAATATGTTCATCATAAATTAAGGCAGTAATTTAGGGCAGTGGCTGCCATCTGGCTATTAAACCATTGAATGATACCATCTTAATTCATAAATTCATTAATTTTACCTAAACTAGTCTAGTCTAACAGTGAATATGCCCAAAATATTTGCTTATGTAGAATGTTGGTAAGGCTGATTCTTATGATCTTCCCTATGCAAACCAGCACTTATGTATGAATTTAATTTTTAAATCTTTAAAGCAGAGCATCTGTGGAAATGAAGTCACATTGAGATTACTTGCTTGCATGTAAGTTTTCTGGAAACTGTGGCTGAAATTATAAGACAAGATTTTGGTTGTCTTAACTTTCTTCATAAAGTCTTGATAAACAAAATGATTGTTTTATATTGAGGAATGCATTAGTTTATATAGCAGCCAAACTATATTTCTATGTATTTTACATCTTTTGGTTTAAATAAAATAAGCAACATACCAAGGTTACGTATGCTGAAAATATTATAGTAACTTTTATATCTGTGTTCATCTGCTAGTGCTTGCAACTAAATGTATGAATATCTCTTCAACTAGTGTAAAAAAAGCTCTTGATTTTCAACAGAACTGTCTGCTTTATCACTGAAGTGGCAGGCTTATAACATTTTAAAAGATTAGTTCTACAGGAAGTTGCAGCAGCTTTTCCTCAAATGAAGCACTTGATGTAGAACAAACAAAACAACCCAATGAAAAGCATACATACAGAAGAACATGAAAACAAACTTTCCCCACAGGAAGCTAAGTGGGACAGCAACTACTGGTTGAAGTGGTTTTTTTAAGCCTTATGTTTCTGCAACAGAGTTGGGGCAGGGGTTGGAGCAGCCAGTCAGCACACAAATACTCCACACCAGATTAAAATTACGAAGAGCAGCTGAAGGGAGAAGCACATATCTTAAGTGCAAGATTCACCAATACTGAATGTAATGCTAGCTCTCTTCATTGTTCTTCTGAACAACCATCTAAAATTCAGTTATCTTAAGTTTAGTCTTCGACCCAGATAGAAAGCAAGCAGCAAATACCAGCCTTTGAAAATGTGCATTCTGGGTGGGAGTGCCTAAGGGACAACATGGAAATATTTTGTGCAAAAGACCTTACACAGTAAGTTCTTGATTTGTTTTTCAAGGAATGATGCAACTGGATAGGGATACTTGAGGAAGAATTAGGCAAGAAAAGTTTAGTAAAACAAATGTTTGCCCTATGAACAATGCCTTGACCAATGTCATGCAGAGATGGCAAACTCCACTGAGCCATACAGCTGCACTCCCACAATACCAGATGTTTACTGGCTCTAAATATAAAGCTCTGGTCCAATGTCACTCAGAAAGGTTGTATGTGAATGTGTGTGTATATATCTATATATTTAAAAAGGTATTTTAGCCATGTTTTGGAGGACCGTCAAGTTTTTTGTAAGCCTGCAATCTGTGACATGTTTACTTAAACTTTCCAGTTTCTTCCTCATGGAAGTACACTGTAATTACCTAGTAGCACTTTAAGTTTATAACTTGTTTAATTTTGCTTTTCTGTTTAGTGACACAGATATCCTGTTGTTTGGATTGAAAAATTAATATAACCTCATTAGCTTATGTTACTAAGGGTATAAAAATATTTACAATAGGATATTTGGCCAATTCTAATTCCTAGCATTGTAGGGGACATACACTGCCAACAGGCCCTTTTCTCCTATAGTCGTTACTCCAGGCATTCTTAAAGCACTCCAGAAGTTTTTAGATAATTTAAGGAAAAAATAGGAAATTTACACTATTAAAAGAGACTACAGTTATTGCTGAGTGAAACATTGTACTTTGTTTAGTAAATGTGGCAGCAATGTAATTTTTAATTTCTGGATACTACACAGCAGATGGTTTTGGTGCATAGTGCCTGCCAAATCAATTAACTCTTCAATAGGATTAAGTATAAGATTTGGTATTTTCATATACTTTGAGGCAGTTTTGGGCACCTGTTAAAGTTTTAAGGAAATAGTTATTTTTATTGAGAGACATAAGATGAATAGTAAGAAATTATACTTCTAAGAAATGACAAATCAGTCATTACCACTTACAAGCAAATAACTGTTATTAAACCTGTAATTAGTACAGTACAATTTTTGTGTTAAAAACAACTCACTTTCTCAATTTCATTTAATAATGTTGTCAGGGCATGAAAGAGCTGGGCCCATAGTTTCTCCTGTTCTTTAAAGAATTCTGCAGCAAATCCAAGAGCATATGTATGTCTTGGGTTTTTTCCCCAGACTGAAGTAAATTGCTCTATGTATTTTGATCTTCCACAAAAGTATAATAAAATCCAAAAAAAGCATTTTTCCTGTGATAAGCTTTAATATGCATAAGTACACAGCGAGCAGCAGGCTTATGTACTTAGTAATGCGTAAGTATTAAGTCATCATATTTGATCTTCAGTGATGGCCTCCATTCTTCTTTGGAGGAAACAATGTATATTCAATGCCAAGAGCTACGACAAAAGCTGCAAATCCCCACTTGAAGCCCCTAGTAAAGACTTCTGTTAAGGTGACAGGTTTCGCATAGCCACCCATATACCTCCAGGCTTCATTACTAGAAGAAAAATGAAACAAAAATAATAAAACAAGATCAGTGGAGCCACTGCAATAAACATTAACAGGAATATCTTTGTTCAGTAAAAAAGATGAAGGTATTTCAACTAGCTATATATTGACACTGTAATATTTCTATAATTTAAGTATCATTTAAGGACCAGGAGTTGCCACAAGTAAAGTTAATGATATTAACTCTAACCCTTTATGCATGTAATTTGAGATACAAGTAACATCAGCAAACAACATAATTCTAGTAACAGAATCACCTCCCCAAACTTATGTAATTGTTGTCTTCTGGTTTTACTCTGTTTTAAAGGAAATCAGAACCCTCTAGCACATGCATGAGATGGAGTAATTTACCAGGCTAGGACACTGGTCTAGACAGTATCTAGCATAGCTAAATCTTAAAAGGGAAAGTTTTTCCAGGCATAGAAAACTCATCCTAGTGTGGAGGCACTTTCTGTTTTACAATATGACACTACATTGTATTAGGGTCAGAAAAGCCTACTAAAATCTCTTAAAAAAAAAAAAGCTGAAAAAATTGTGTTTAGCTAAAAAGCTACAGAATATCTACAAACCTCACACTGTTTTGCCTTTTTGTTTTCAACCTACATTGTTATTGAAATGTTAGTCACTGCTATAACTGACTACAAGTATTTGTGTAGCACAACCAGCATAATCTATAGAAGAGACAAACTGTCCATCTCTAAGGACTCAAAGTCTTTAAGAGAAGGAAAAAAACATTTGCACAGAAACAAACAATAAAATCAGAACCATCATTTCAGTAGATGACAGGTTTTTTTAAGCAAGGGGGTCAAGTATTTATGTTCACAGATAATCCTCTTGGGCAGATGGTTTCTGTGACTTGGGATGAAGGCATATTGGCATAGAAGGGTATCTTACAGATGCTAACATAGGATACTAATGAATAAAGACTTAGGTTTCCAAATATGACATATTTCACACAGCTTATTCTGTATTTAATATATACAGTAATGGGCATTTGTTACGAAGGTGGAAAGCTGATCCTCTGTTAAAAGGAACTTGATAGATCAAAGAAGGAAGCCCTAGAGAGGGTTACTTTTTCAAGACTTCTAGTGCAAGATATTAATAATACAATCTTCTTCCAGATTACTGAAGCAAATAACTTGATAGTTTAATTTCTCATTTGTTAAGGAAGATTGGCATGATACTGGTACTTGTCCTATGGAACTGAAATATTACCTTACATAAAATTTGAAAAGTTAAGGAGGAATCATCTCATGCTTTAAGTTTGACTTTGTTCCTTATTTCAACTCCTCACATAATTGGCTCAATCGCCTTCTTTTACCAGAGAAACTATTTTTTTTTTATATAGGAGGGGCAACAAATATTACACAAGCTCTTTTCCAGTTTGCTGGTTTGCAGCACTTCCTGAGCAGTGTACTTGCAAGTGTATGCACTAAAAGTCTGTTTAATGTACACTAAATTTATGGTATTAACCTGTGTCTATTTTTTAATGGGAATAAACCTATTGCTTCCTTCAGACAAAATTGTTTTCAGCAATGGAAAAAAAAAGCTATCACTGCTTGCACTCCACAGAAATAGGAGCAACATAAATGTGACACAGGCCTGGAAAGTTAATCGGTAACTGATAATCCTAAGGACTCATACCTCAAATTATTCTTATCATAATCAAAATTCTGTTTTATTCTATGCTTACAGCCTTAAACTGTTTCAAAAGAAGGAAAAAAGTGCTGTCAATCCCAAACCCCTCCAGAGGTTATAGCATGTAACAACTTTTTAACAGGTTACCTGTTTGCTCTTAAATTTTTCTTGTAGTGATTTGAAGTAAAGCCTTTTCTATGAAGGCTCCTGGAATAGTTTGCTCATGCAGCTTTTCCCTTCCAGATCAACTGGACTACACAGCACAAGACATTTAGCATTTTTATTCCCCAAGATTAAAGAGTACTTGAACAAAGTATTACGTAATTCATTATGTGGGAGAAATATATTAAGCCATGTTTTAACAGCTGCCTAAATGAACCATAATTGCTCTAGCTAAAAAGGAGGTGTTTATTGTAGAGTGGGACAACTTCAGAGGTAAAAACCTGATCTTCCATTATGTCATTCACCTTATCTTTCGTCATTCACTGCTTAGGAAAATGAAATGCACAGCTGAATCCAACTTCACATTGTATACTAGTATATTTCTTCTTTTCAAATAAAGGCATCCTGTTGTATATGAGGACTGCTATTCTTACTCAGAATGTCAATATAAGTTCCATCAACTTCAGCAAGATCTGAGCACACAATCTCTTTGCTGAAAGGGGACAGGCTTACTCACAGGTGCAAGACCTCATGTTCCTTAAGTGTTTTAGTGGATGAAGTATTGGTCATTGTGCCTAATCTGTGCCAGATCTGTATCACTGTGAAACATCACAAAGTGCAAGGATGCCTTGCAAAATGTGGAGACTGGTCAAGGTGAAGTAAGGTGTGACCTCTCTGCAAAAAGATAAATAAAGACTTAGCTGAAATTCTGACTAATAAATTCTAGATGCATTTTTACTAAAGAAAGAATAATCTTCAATGACAAGGTCCAGTTGATGCTACAAGATAACATATCAAGACTATTTTTGAGACTCTTGCACTTACCGAGCCCACGGATCCCTAAGACCCCGTTTAGCTAGCCTTTCCTGGACCTTCTCTAGTGGAGTACCCTCTATCTTCCATTGTCTGTAGTCAGGGAGTTCAATTTTGCCGTGGCCGTGGCCATGTTCATTTCCATGCCCCATACCTGCAAGAAAAGATAAGAATTTATTTCTCAGAGAATAACAGCTTATTTGCACATACTTGCGAAGAACAATATCCTGTAGAGGAAAAACAGGGAGATTACAAGAATTCCAAAGCACATAACACTGCACATGAAGCATATGCATCGTACATAGTACACTGCAGAACAAAAAGCTAAGAGACTTTATGCTGCATTTCAGAAGTTGGTGATTAAGCACAATAAGGCAAACTGTGCAGAGTTAAGTGTTACTGTGTTGCAAATCACCACCGCTATTACCTTCATGAAGCAGCTATGTATCAGAAAAAAAAAATTGTTTCCAATGTCCACAGATGCACTTTAGCAACACCAGGACCTGCCAACTTGCAGGCTTTCCAGAGTACATCAAAAAGCTCAGAGTTCAGTTTTGAAATTTCTAATTTAGGTATGGCAGAGCTATGAACACCAAGCTCTAAAGGAAAAAATGAGAAAAAGACTTGGCTCCTCAGCTCCTTTTAAGTTGCCTCTAATTCAGTCACACATAACAGATAGATGAATGGACAAGGAGATGCACCTTACTAGTCATTTCATGAGGTTGGGAAATATATGCTTTATTTATATAAGCCTTTAAGAAAACTATGAAAATATTAAGGTTCTCATTAAAAACAGTGATAAAGGCAAATTCCATGACATCATAAAGGACTGGAAGAAAATAACAATGGCTTTTAAGTCTGTTTTCGCAAAGCACCCGAGACTTCTTTGAGCCAGGATTTCCCATTTTAACACATATCCGGTAGCCAAGAACAGATATAATGTTCTTCATTTTTAGGAGAATTAACTGGAATGCAATGGCGCCAAGAACACAGCTTCAAAGCCTGGAACTCTTGGAAGGCCCCGAGCCATGGAGGCAAGCAAAGAGGATTCTCTTGCAGAAGAGAACCTGAAGAAGAGCTCTAATGCTGTGATTACCTGAAAAGCTTCCCCAAAACTAAACCCCAGTCTACACCCTTACCATAAAAACCCCAGGCCTCTTTTCTGCCAGTGTTTACTACAAGAAGGATTTATGCACACATGGGCACTCCAGCGCCTGCTCGCCGCGGCCAGCGGGCTGCATTGCAATACCAGACGGGCACTCTCCGCCAGCAAAACCGGCATAAACAGAGCAAAAAGGGCGCCCCGAGATGAGGATGGGTGCGGCAGGGCCCGCTCTCTCGGGCGGGGCGGGTGTCCGGCTAACGGCGATC